GTAAAAAATTTCTTATTTCAGTTTGTACTATCCTTTGTAAAAGTATCAGCATCTTTTGAAATAAGTGGCGCTCTTTGGTATGCAGTGTAAGGTATAGGTGGGTATCATATTTTTAGTCAAGTGCAGAAGCAAAAGCTTGTTTCCACCGCCTCCGATATAAGAGTAGCCGTTCGCGATATTTTGACTTAAATTTTCAATAAAAGGAAAGTTTTTGTCACAATCTCTCTGTACTTTTATGAGTTTACCTGAGTTAGTTAAAAATTTATACACATAATAGAAACAATTCTGAACTGGCAATCAAACATTATTTAAAAAAAAATACGTGTTAAACATAGAAAAGCAGCAATTTAAACATATTTTTCCTGAGCAGTGTAGAAAAATGTTTTTTTTACAAACTGTACGGAGATACTCGATGTTTCTTTTTATTTTATAAGAGCACGTATAGCAAAGGCTACCCATCTTCAATATTCATCCTAAGTCATATTTTCTTGGTATTTTTGGTTGAGCAACCTTTTGTCGATCAATAGATTTGTAACAGCTTTGGCTAGATGTTTAGTAAATCGATCTGTATAGCTTTGGTGTATAATATGCATTTATGGTGCTAACGTCAACCATTTAATACAGCTAAGCATATACTGATTGTTGTAATTATTTTTATGTCAAACAGTATAATTACAGTATATCATATTCTTATATCAATATATTAAGTATCCAATTTTTATTTTCCCTTTTTCATATTTGTCAAAGTTACGGAAGTTACAGCTTTTCGAACTATTGCTAAATTAAAGTTTTCCAAGTAACTTTGAAATGAGCGAAACCATATACGTCGATTTTTATAAAAGCTTTCGATACGTAACGTTCTTTTTTTATTTTGGTGATGGCTTTTGATCTTCTAAAAACGCGGAGATTGTATATATGTGCGCTTTTTAAACTTTACTTCGCTAAAAATAAACTTCGACTTTTTAATTTATGTACTTCATTGAAGAAAATTACATGGAGCTATCCATAGTGACTAAAACAGTTGGCAATACTTTCTCGTTATATCTTTTGGGCTTTTGTTCCTGTAAATTTATATATATATAGTATATCATATTCTTATATCAATATATTAAGTATCCAATTTTTATTTCCTTTTTTCATATTTGTCAAAGTTACGGAAGTTACAGCTGAACTATTGCTAAATTAAAGTTTTCCATATAACTTTGAAATGAGCGAAACCATATACGTCGATTTTTATAAAAGCTTTCGATACGTAACGTTCTTTTTTATTTTGGTGATGGCTTTGATCTTCTAAAAATATAGATTGTATATATGTGCGCTTTTTAAACTTTACTTCGCTAAAAATAAACTTCGACTTTTTATAATTTATGTACTTCATTGAAGAAAATTACATGGAGCTATCCATAGTGATATAAACAGTTGGCAATACTTTCTCGTTATATCTTTTGGGCTTTTGTTCCTGTAAATTTATATATATATATATATATATATATATATATATATATATATATATATATAAGGGCTACACCATAATTTGAAATGGTTGAATAAGCTGAAAATAATGGTGATGATTGAGTAAAAATAGTTTTTTTTAATTGAGTTTTAAATGGATCTAGTTTAAATTCGATAATTGTTTATTGGAAATAGATATGTGTGTTTGGAAACGTGTGTCTAGAGGTTTGTGTTAATTTTGACCATTTTTATGTCAATTTTTAGTAAATGACGTCTAGGGCTTGACCTCGTCAAAAATTTTCATGGAATGTCAATCCCCATCCGTCTTTGACGCCGTTTTTTTTAACGACCATACAGTATCTTCTTAGACTGACATAGAAGCTGAAAAATAAGACATAAAAACAAGAAAATCCGGTGGTTTTATCTTAAAATCTACCCAAAATCAAAAATTCTCTTTGTATTTATCCTTCAAAGACTCGCATACCTACACTGATAAAAAAGATAGACTTGAACTAAAGTCGTCATCGTTCTTAAAAAAAATAGTGGCAAGAGAATTTATATTACCGCAAAAGAAAATATTTTGCCTGAAGAAAAACTCTCTTAACTCAAGAAAACTGGTTTTCTTGAAAAATTCGAAAATTTCTCTTGAATCTATTTTCATTCAACCAAGTGCAAGTTACTTTGTTTTAAGATAATAACAAAAATACGCTAGGAAGTACTTCACTCAAGAAACATGGCCATTTTTCCAATAGCTAAATCCTCTTTTGATGAAAAATAATAACGACACGCAAAGACGATGACGAAGGACGGTATATACAATCAGTCGGCGCGGCAGTTCAATCAGTCGTACGTCGCATTTCATAGGTCGCACATCATAGTACGCACGGGTTTTGACGCTTGGAATTTTGCATAATTTGCTTTTTAAACGCATATCGTATAACAAATTAGTGATCGTTATTAACATGCATTTGTCATTTTTTATGGACAAATTTTAGGATATATGGATTCTTTAAAGGAGTTTCTGAAAAAATGGAAATTAGAGCATTTATTTGTTATATTTGAAGGTAAGAGACATTTACCTAATGTTTCATGCATGCGTGACTATAGATAGAATAAGAATATAGGTATATCGATTTTTTTATGCAAATAATTACAAAAATTTTAGAATTTCAAGTCGTCGTATTAAAAAATTCAAAATGTGACCAAAGCTTATAATTTTAATAATTTATTTGCTTTACTTTGATTAATCGTGATGTAACATTTTTTTGTAATTTGTAGAGTGATGAACCACCCCAAAAAATACAAAGGAGTGAAGAAGCAGAAATAACTACTATCGAGGAAAATACTATCACTTTACTTACTACAGACCAGGAAAACCTAAATTTATCAGAAAATAATATACCTCGTAATATGCCTGTGTATGATGTATAGACTTCTCTTAGATCAAAATAAATTTTAGTTGAGTCAATAGTATTCGCTATTGGTTTAAGAAAAGTGTCTCTTTAATCAAGAAATGGTCCCTTTTCAATCAAGAATTTTTGCATGAATCAAAGAGACTATTGTTCTTGTAGCAAGAATTTCTTTGCATATTCATTTTGGGTCAAGAGTGAAATACTTTGGACAGATAGATTCCTCTATTCTCTAAAGTAATTTTTTAAAGCTTATGAAAAGATAGTTAATGCTTTGGGCAAAGAAACGTCGTTCTTGGCCCTATTGAAAAGCGCTAATCTTTTAGGTCAAAGTCATATTCATTTCGACTGAGAGATCCTTTTTTTCAGTGTGTTAATTTTGACCATTTTTATGTCAATTTTTAGTAAATGACGTCGAGGGCTTGACCTCGTCAAAAATTTTCATGGAATGTCAATCCGCAAATAAATTTCGTCTTTAACGCCGTTTTTTTAACGACCATACAGTATCTTCTTAGACTGACATAGAAGCTGAAAAATAAGACATAAAAACAAGAAAATCCGGTAGTTTTATCTTAAAATTTACCCAAAATCAAAAATTCTCTTTGTATTTATCCTTCAAAGACTCGTATACCTTCATGTCCTAATCGATAAAAAATTGGTACGACACACCCCTAAAAACCCTAATCTTTGACGCAATGCTCTGCAAATTAACGTAATCTCGCATCGAAATACCCTGGATTTCGAAGGGACGAGAAAAAAAACGCAAGAAAAATATAAACAGAAAAGCGGAGAGCAAGTTGAACCGAAAAGCTAACCGAATTTTCAATATAATCCGGCGATTTTCCGGAAAGGGTCAGTTTTCCGGAGAATCCGACCTTGCCGGATTTTAATATTTCGGAACAACTTTTTTCTTTCAATTTCTAAATGCTTTACTTTTTTCTGTTTTGTTTCACTAAAGTGGAATATATTGGATTATAATTTCTTTGGTTAAATGGCTAGATATGAGGATACTTCGCAAGAAAAATTAGCCATGTAAAGATAATAAGGTTTTTTATGTAGCCAGCTCTTAAAACTAAAAGCCCATACCGAATAAGTCAGTAGTTTAAAGAATAAATCGGAGGTTTGAAACTAAAAGCATTATGGAAGTGTCAAGACAAAAATAATTGAACAGGAAGAAAATAGCAATGCATTGAATATTTTTCATGCTGAAGAAAAGAAAAATATTGAGTGATGTATCTAAATATGAAGCTTCGTAATAATAATAATGTATAAAAAATATGAAGAAAGCTTCGAAAAAATAGAAGAACAAGGTGGTTTCCGTGCTGGGCGTTCTTGTACAGACAACATATTTGTGTTACAACAAATAATTGAAAAAAGGAGAGCTCGAAATTTGGACACGCATCTGGTATTTATAGATTTAGAGAAAGCCTATGACACGGTGCCTTTGAAGAAATTATTTGAAATCTTGGTTGAGACAAATGTGAGTAAAACATATATCAATGCAATCTGGAATATGTACAAAAATCCAAAAAATATGATCAGACAGGGGAAGTTCCTATCGGAATCCTTCCTGACATCAAAAGGACTCAGACAGGAATGCAGTTTATCACCTACCTTATGGGAATAGAGATTGACAACCACTGTGTATCGACCTTGTTTTTTGCAGACGACCAGGTTATCATTGCAGGTTGTGAGGATAATGCCGACTATATGTTCAGGAAACTTGAGGAAGAATACGATAGATGGGGACTCAATATCAACCTCACAAAAACCGAATACCTGAAAGTAGGAGAAGAACAAACTGAAGATTCTGAACTACACATATATGAAATTAAAAGGTGTAACGAATATAAATATTTAGGAAGTATTATATCTGAAGCAGGGAACTCCAAGAAAGATATACATAGCAGAGTTCAACAAGTGAAGAAAGTAATCGGTCTTTTAAACCCTCTCCTGTGGTTAAATAAAACATCTCCATCCAAACAAAGCTAAGGATTTACAAAGCAATCGTAGAGCCAATTTTAACATACGGTGCCGAATGCTGGCAATTTACATCAAAAAAAAGAAGGATGGTCGAGTCAGTGGAGATGGATTTTCTGAGAAGAGCATGTCGAATATCAAGGATGGAGCACATTAGAAATGAGGAGATCAGGCAAAGAACAAGGCGAATATATACCAGCACCGACAACATCGAATCGAGACAGCTACTATGGTATGGGCCAAAAAATGGCCAAAAAGGGCAATGTATCGTCCACAAAGCAGAAGGAAAAGAGGAAGACCTACAACTACGTGGTTAGATGGAGCAGACCAGTACATGAGAGATAGAGCTATTAACCAGGAAGAATGGCAGGTCGAAATGCGGGATGCGGTAGAACCTGACTCCCGCTTTATATATAAAATATATAAAGTATATATATATATATATATATATATATATATATATATATATATATATATAGGTTATATATATATATATAATTCAGGAGTCATCTATATATATATATATATATATATATATATATATATATATATATATATATATGAGAGTAAGGTTCACCAGATCCCGCATTTCGACCTGCCATTCTTCCTGGTTAATATATATATATATATATATATGAGGTAAGCTACACCAGATTGGAAATGGTTGAATAAGCTGAAAATGATGATGATTATTCAGGTAGCGCCACTGTTTAAAACAACCCAACAAAAACAAATAAATTTCGAGTGATTGTCGAATCGTTTTAAAGTGAAAGTGGGCTTTCGTAGCCTGGTAAAAGAAGATATGACTTACAAAATGTGATATCCGTTGTACGCGGAACGTATCGAATTCTACACGCCTAACCACAGATGATAAAAGAAACTTAATCTGAACCGTTACAGTACGAACGGTTCAAACAAAAATGTGTTTTATTGAGGCCGTGACTTTCAATGAGCGTTTTTTTTATTCATACATAATATTTTTGTTGTCAATTCATAGTAAATCATGCACTTTATATGTTTAACAAACTCAAAATAAATTTGAAAGTAATGATAATATTTCTAAACTTTTATAGAAACGCGCGTTCAGTGCAGAAGTAAGTCTTTTGGTGTATTGTGGTGAATTAGAGTTTTATTTTCCTGTTATAAAACCAAAGATTCCAACCCCAAACTGTAATCTCTGATTTATTCTTTAAACTGTTAACTTATTTGCTTTTGGTATAGGATGTCCAGAGACTGAGCTGCGAGAATATTTAACACAGCGGGTGTACTATTCCAGCAAAATTCCAGCAAAACTTTACAAATTTGAAGACAGAATTTTTGCAAATAACTTTTAAATTCTTATAAGCTTGGTTTGATGCATTCTCCGCCGGTGCTGCCACCATCGGAGAATATCGTAAACAACTAAATCGTAATATTTTACTTATCAAAATATTTACTATCGTAAAAATTTTGATCAATATTCTTATCAAAATATTTACTATCGTAAATATTTTGATCTTCAGAAGGTCTAACTTGCATTATAATTTATTATTCTAGTTAACTACGGTAGCCAGCATAGTTTGAATCACCGGTTTTGCTAGTGGAGCATAATTGGGGCTATTTCGACATTTTTTAAAGGTACATAATTATAATTTTAGAAGATGTTCATAAAACATTTAATCGCCAGTTGATTAAAAAAAGGATATAATTAATAATGCAAATTATATTTTATCCTCTCCCCCAACAACGCCCTAATTACTAAACTTGTAGAGAAAAAAAAGATACTGTATTTGAAATGATTAAATTCGAAATCTGAACTAGACAAGCGCACTTATAATGACAAGAAAAATCAGGTGAGGAGAATGGTAAAAGAAGAAAAGAATAAAGTGCGGGATGACAAATGTAAAGAAATAAATACGTATATAGGCGGAGGAAGGAATGCGGAAGTATGGAGATTTATAAAAACAACAACTGAAAAACAGGAGTTAGAGCCCCTATAGAAATAATAACCAACAAAGAATGAGTGAAATATTATTCCAACTTGATGTCAGAGAACAGACCTGAGTATCAAAAACCGCCACAGCCAGAAATGAACATTGAAGGAGAGGAAATCTACGTGGATACCAACAAAATAAAAACCACTATAATGTCTTTAAAGAATGGAAGACCATGTGGCCCAGAGGGAGTATATGCGGAACTCATAAAATCTGGAAGCGAAAAACTGTTTAGAATGTGGTTAACAAACATAGTTAACCAGTGCTTAAATGGTCATCCAGTACCTGAACAGTGGAAAAAAGCATGTATCTCCTCTATATATAAAAAGGGCCCAAGGAAGGATCCCAATAACTACCGGGGAATTTCAGTCACCAGCACTATGAGTCGGCTCTATGAAAAGATACTGAGGAACTTAATTGAAGAGGAATACTCCAGCTACGAAGAAGAAAAGCAGAATGGTTTCAGAGGCGGAAGATCATGTACAGATAATATCTTGCATTGAAACAGATTATCGAGAAGAAATCTGCAATGAACCAGGAAGCCTAGGAAGCATATGATACAGTGCCAATAATAAAATTATGGGAAGTATTGCACGAATCCGGAATTAACGCAGCTCTGATAAAAGCTGTACAAAATCTTTACCATGGAGGAAAATCCCAAATTAAAACTTTTAACGGCCTTTCAGAGGAAATTGCTATTACTAAAGGGCTCCGACAGGGTTGCTGTATATCCCCAACACTATTTAAAAGTTATATTGCCAAGGCCTTACATCTATGGAAAAGAAAATGTAACGGAATGGGTATGACATATGCTAATACACCTTGCAATTTGCAGACGACCAGGCCATAATTGCAAACGACAAAGATAACATGGAATATATGGTGCAGAAAATAATTGAAGAATATGCTAAATGGGGTCTCACAGCAAATACAGAAAAAACGAAATACCTTCCAATTGGAGCCAATACAGAAAATCTTATTTTGGACAATAATATGGAAATTAGGGCATCTGAAGATAGCAGGTACCTGGGTTCGATATTTACAGGATATGGAACGGACGATAGAGAAATATACAACAGAGTAATACAGGCACGAAGAGTTATCAGATGCATAAATGGCATTCTATGGACCACTGAAATTACAAAGAACAGGAAATATAATATATACGAGACACTAGTTAAAAGCCTATTACTCTATGGATGTGAAACATGGCGACTCACTGAAACGAATAAAAGGAAACTAGAGACAAGAGAAATGGACACGATTAGAAGAGCAATGAGAATTTCACGGAGGGATAAGATCAGAAATGAAGACATTAGTATATGGCAGGTCGAAATATATTAAACAATTAATATGGTACGGCCACGTTCAGAGAATGCACAATGAAAGAATTCCAAAACAAGTAATTCATTGGATACCACCTGGTAAACGAAAGAGAGGACGTCCCAAGAAAACATGGATGGAAGGAATAAGAAGGTCGATGAGCGAGAAAAATCTGACGGAAGATCAATGGGAAAACCGCAGAGGGTGGAAGTTAGGCATCGGACAACGTCGTAGGACGTTCTGACCCGAATTTGAATATATATAATTGCTGAGTTCTGCCGTTGAAGCGCTCCGGTCGGAATTTGTTAAATCATCTGGAATGCACCAAGCCCATACAAAATGAAACGAAATTCTAGACAAAAGTACAACTTTAACGCCGCCTCTTTAAAAAAGTTAAATACAATTTTTGTATAAAATTATCTGGGGAGATAATATTTGAGCTTTTCAAAATATACATGGGATTTGTTATGTCCCGTGATCCAATGCACCACACGGTATACGTTCAACAACAATCAAAATATTCAGATTTAAATATTTCTTTTTATTTAACGTTCGAACAAGACAATACTTATTTAATGGGCGTCGTTTTTCAATTATTATGACCGCAAAAATAGAACAAAGCGGGAAAAAGAAGGGAGGAAATAAAAGGAGGAGACGATTGCCCTTAAAACGGAGTCGCTATGAATATAACGCGCAATGCATTTGACAGCTAGACTATTCGCAATGAAATATTCAGGGAAAATTTTAATGGGATTGTACTGTCTTTGTAGATTCTTCGAAATTTCATTAATTGTTAAATCGAACCGCTCCGCAGACAAGCCGTAATCGATCCGAGTAAATTATTTTCACTCGGAACCCTTTTAATTTTTCATATTTTCTCGGTTTTACTTGAGGAAAAACACAATTAATTTCATAATACAAATGAGGCGTAAAAAAAACGAGATTTGGTACGTTAGTATATGATATAAATTAGGATTCACTGACGTATTCAATTGTTTTCGGTCATTTCCTGTTTCACCGGAAATGACTACAACTTTTGATTTTCAAATGGCACCCTTGGTATTTTTTTACTTTATTTGATAGAAAATCATATGTCAACTTTTGACATTTTCGTTTAATATTATTCTTATATATACCATTCTTCTTGGTTAATAGCTCTATCTCTCATGTACTGGTCTACTCCATCTAACCACGTAGTTGTAGGTCTTCCTCTTTTCCTTCTGCTTTGTGGACGATACTCCATTGCCCTTTTTGGCCTTCTTTCCCCTCCCATTCTTTTTACGTGCCCATACCATAGTAGCTGTCTCGATTCGATGTTGTCGGTGCTGGTATATATTCGCCTTGTTCTTTGCCTGATCTCCTCATTTCTAATGTGCTGCATCCTTGATATTCGACATGCTCTTCTGAGAAAGTCCATCTTCACTGACTCGACCATCCTTCTTTCTTTTGATGTAAATTGCCAGCATTCGGCAATTATGTTAAAAGCACTACTTATTAATTAAGGAGCATTGGACAAATATATTTGATCGTCTAATGTTTTTAGTGTCTTGTACTGACCGGGTAAAAGATGCCCAAATCGTATTTTTAATCATATCTCAATTTTAGTATTGAAAATACTTCTGGCCGCGTTTATATGGGACCCCTCTTTGAAAAAACGACATGGGTTCAATAACCTGCCTGTCAACACGTACTTAAGTCGATAGTGCCGGCGTTGATGGGGGAATAGGGTAAGGACGTTCGAGTCTGGACCGGCGGATAAATAAAAAAATAATAATAGAAAGGCATTATTATTTTAAAAGAAAATAAGTCAAGGCATGTCAAGGCATATATAAATAATTTAAATTACATTCTTCTGCGTCTTATCAATTCTATCTAGTTAAAATTAATATGAAAAACTAATTTTACATCCGGTAAACTCAGAAAAATTATGTACACGTAATATTTTTCAAAAGGTATCTTAACAATATATTCCGTTTAGTCAAGATAATCTACTAAAGAGGAACAGAATCGTAAACATGGCGGAAATCCCCGAAGCGCGAAAAGTCCAACAACTAACACCTCTCCGCGGCAAATTCATAAACATAAATTCGCCCGACTTTTCCAACTCCGCAGGAGAAATTTCCTCCCTTGGAAAATAATTTAAATTAAAAGCAGGAAACAAATTTTATACCTCTTTTTATTGTTTTTCATATTTCCAAATGACGACGAGGCAAATCTCAAATAATATAGTTTTCTGCTCCTATAAAATTGGATTTTATTATTAGATTGGCTTAGGTAGGTACACAAAAAAATTGGCGCCTGGGGGCACTTATAGCCGCCCATACTAAAATATGTTATTAAAAAGTTGGTAGGCAGTACTTTTAGTTTCAAAGTAAAAACCTTGTGTAACTAGATACCTTCAACTGTTAAAAAACTATTAAAGAATATCTTTAATTTTTTAAAAACTTCAACACCCTGTATCTTGCGTAAGAGGCATTTCCGACCCATTTTTAGATTTTTTTTTGACGTCCCCTATCATTCCTCGAAAGCATGACCGACTTACAGGAATCACCCTGTATACTAACATACCAAATCTCGTTTCTTAAATTGAAAAAATAAAAAAGTTATAGGTTTGATCCACTTTTGAGACGCACCCGGTATATATTATTTTATTGCATGTAGAATTAAAGAAACATTTTAAAATAATAAAGAGTGATCTTTTTCTGCACATACCTTTGATTTACAGGCTTTCTGGTATTCTAAATCTAGATATTTTTCCTTAGAAAACCATTACCCAGTTAAATCTATATATTCCAGGCGAAAATTTGAAAAGGAGTTTAGAGAAATCCAAAATGTCGTCGAGTGTTGGTTGCACTACCGCATCCAACTTCCGCTTACAAGAAATCCTATGCATATTTTAATACCCGCAAGGATTAGATTCGGTGGTGATTTCGAACTAAAGTTGTATCGACTATTGACTTTGTTGACACTTCTTGGTAAACTTTCGAAAAGCTCTAGAACGTTGTGCAGTTATAGATGAAAGATTAACACAATAATATTTTAAAGACGTCAAATAAAATACGCTAAATACCAATAACTAGAAAAATATGAACATTTTAAATCAATTTAATATAGCAAGTAATTTTTCTATGTTAAGTTTTTATTTAGATATACAGAAAGGTCCACAGACTTCGAGACATAGGAAAAATCAAGTCCATTTAGCGTGTGTCGCAATTTTCACACCTTAAAAAAATAGTTTTTTTATAGCTATAGTAACTGCAGCCACTATGAAAAAAGCTGTGTGGCTTTCATAGAAAATAAGGGCACCTGTAATTCATTTGAGAATGTTATAAATCGCTAAAAGAGGTTTCAAATCTCTTGGATTTCTATTAATATTAAATAAATTTTATTAAAAATTGAACTAAAATTGTTAGTATCATTAAAAACAATTCAAATTCAAAACTTGTATCAGTCAAATTCCCTCATTTAGGGTGAATATTAAAGTAAATATAAATACAGCTCATTCTAAGCTATATTCTACTTATCTTTAAGAAAAATTTAAATCATTGGTGCAATGAGCTTGTTCCACAATTTTTTTTTATTTTACCAATCGAAAGTACAACTAAAAAATAACAGATCTACCAAAAATTAGAATTTTATTCGTACGTTTAGTACCTCAAAAACACGTACAAACATCTATTGCGCGAGAAAGGGGCGTGGCCAGCCGCTACGTCATAGCACCACAGGTCGGCTGGCGACCGCGCTCGATACAATGCACAGGTCTGCTTTGCCCGATTACAGAAAGTGTGTTTTAAATTTATAGTATAACGTAGTGTAGTACTAAAGTCTTTCTTTTATTCAATATTAGTGTAAAAAAGACAAGGAAACGTTGTGTAGTGCTAGAATGCACAAATACGAATAAAAAATCCCCAGAAAAACTATTTATTTCTTTACTGTCCGACATAAAGTTAAGACGAGCATGGCAGCATGCAATGCGAAGACATGATTTTGTCCCTGAAAGAGGCACCAGATTTTGTTGTGAAGATCACTTTAATGTAAGTTAATACTTACAAGTAGTGTTTCCTAATTTTTTTTAATATAGGTTGAAGAAGACAGAAAATTACATATATGTACTTAAAAACTATGAAATCGGGAAGAATAAAATTAAAATCAGGTGTTATTCCTTACATTTTGAGTGCCA